TAAGTAACCTTAACGCTTTGCGAGAGGACCGTCCGAGAGGACCGTGAACCAGGACTCAATTTATTCACAACTCACACGAGTGTCACCTTTCGCGAGAATTTCGGCCTCAGAAAGTTTGAATGTGTGGCCGTGTCTCGTTGAATGAGCCTTGACGTGAGAATTGGCGTCATTTCTCCGCACTGCTGCTGTGTGTTCGGCAATTTGCGTCTTGAGAAACAGACGTCTTGAATAAAGCAGGACAAGTAGAATAATGTTGGAAAATAATCGGTCTGTGAAATTGTTGGACACATATGCTTCCATATTACGTGCAATGTGATGTATGGCTGTTACCGAACAGCCCAAATTTCGAATATGTATTCCAACATGTTTTCACGAGAATCGTTAGTTGTTTCTTCCGTTTGTACATTGTTTGAGTTACGCTGGACTCATTGCCGAAGCAGTTCTGCAGAGGCTTGAACAGCTAGTCTTCAGCTCGGACCTCACGAAGTTCTGGGCCAGATACGTCGATGACACGTTTGTCATACCAAAGGGGAGCCACGTGCAAGCATTCAAGGCATTGTTGAATTCGAATTTTCCCGACATCCAGTTTATTATGGAAGAAGAAGTCGGCAATCATTTGCCTTCCTTGATGCCCAAGTTACAAAACTGGTAGACGGGAAGGGAAGGAAAACCGTCTACCATAAGGCCACTTACACGAGGCGTATTCTTCACTTCCAAAGCAACCACCCTGTTGGTCATAAACGCAGTTGTGTCAGAACTCTCTTTCGACGTGTTCCAACACCGTAGTGTCGATGGTGGAAACCAGGAGGAGATTAGGTACTTGCATGCTCTTTTCAAAGCCAGCGGTTATCCGAAATCCTTCATCCACAAGTGTCTCAAAAAGCCTCGCGTTCATCGGTCGAGCGAAGAAAAGCCAAAATTCTGGCTCGCCATCCCTTACGTGAAAGATGTTTCAGGGCCGACAGCACGAATCCTAGAACCTTTTGGGATCGGAGTGGTGCATAGACCAGATTTTACAATCACGCACCAAGTCATAAAGCTCAAAGACCCGCTGCCAGCGACCGAGCCGTCAGCCTTGGTTTATAGCATACTATGCAAAAATTACGGTGCGATATATGTTGGTGAAACGGGCAAACGCCTGAGCACAAGATTGTACGAACATCAACTTGTAATCAATCGCAAGAAAAAGTTGTCTTTGGTCTATGGTCACATGCAACAATTGAACCACGATTTCACCTTTGAGAAATTGAGGGTGATCGCCAGGTTCAATGAGAAGATGGCCAGACTAGTGCTGGAAGGTTGGTTCTCTACTGGCATAATCAACAGAGCAATAGACTTGAACCTCGCTTACCAGGCGCTTCGCGCAAGGCTCGTATCAACTCGGCCAGGGTGGGTAGGGCAAACGCTCACGGAAAATAGGGAGTGGCGGTCGGAGGTCACGCGGCCAACATCAAACACCGTCTCAACCTCGCACCCGCGAAGCGAAGAGCAATTCAAGTGAACAGCACCGAGTAATCACTCTGCCGATTGACGTGAGGGAGGCCAGCAAGCATATTGATTCGCCTTCAAATAAACTGACCGCAGAGGGGACGAAGTTCACGCAAGCTCGCCAGCAGCCAACCTCCGGGAGACTAAATGTAGTCGGCAACGAACAGGCAGGTCAATGTTCGCGCGTCCAGCACGGATATAATACGAGGCAGATGGTAAGGCTGGCTCACTCAAGACCACCAGACGCAGCAACGACAAAACTCTGAAGATGGAAGCGAGAAGGGTTCCGAGACGTCATTTCAAACATAATTTGGTCCACGAACTGGCCCCCTCTTCTTCTTGCTTTTCTTTGAGAGACGATGAACGCAATAACATATCTTAATGCCGAACTTTAAGCATATCGTCTAGGAGAAATTTCCTTCCGCCACATTTCTTTGTAGTTAGTTTGGAATTTCGATAAAGACTAGTTTTATATCTTTCTGTTGATTGGCCATAAATAAGGATTATGTTCTACGTGCTTACGAAAACCTTCAAAGTAAGATATTTTTTGGACGCACTTACCTAAATAACAAGTTCTTAATCATTTTTTCTTATGAAGGAATCACCCAAACACGTCAAATCATTGCCGAGAGGAACGAACTTCAACGACAAGAGTCGTGAATGAATATTATTAAGTTTAATTAAAAACTTTCTGTGATAAGTCACCTCTTGAGAAAGCGTTTTTCTTAGATATTTTGACGTTGAATATCTGTGTGCTTTACTTTCTTTGGAGATTAAGTCCAGATCAAAATGGAAAAATCTTGATCAGTTTTCGACTACCCTAAAAATTAGGGGATAAATCTTCTGTTGAAAATAAAAGAACTCACTTGTCAATGTATACCGGAGTAGTTATCAGTATATTAGTTTATTTCTAGACTGAGTTCTAAGATTTAAAAAAATGCAGATCAGAATGACAGAATATCAACGGTGATTCTGGGAAAACTAATAATCTTATGCCCGTTCCATGTCAAGTTTCTCTATTCATTGATTTTGCTCTATAGGTAGAAAATGTTTGGGCATCTTTTGCATACGGTTTGCCAGAGAAAATTGACGGCATATCCCGGATGTTTGTGTATAGGCTTGTTTATAGTCGTTATTTTTGGTGGAGTTAAGCAACTTACAGCCTTATAAGTTTATTTCTTCATTGTGTTGCCTTGCAGATTTGCAAAATAGAATTTTTTAAACTTAGTTAGCTCTTATTTTCCCAACAATGATGTGTCGTCTCATAACTGCACTTACCTTAATTTCATGGAAGCAAAACAAAATTGTCTGTCCTCTGAACATATATAATTAAAACGTTTCTGCTTTTTTATTAATGTTCCTTTATAATACAAGACGCAAAAACAAGGAGTTTGTGTCCGCAGCGTTTAATAGCGTAGGAAATTCCTTCGATATCATCTATCATTGGATTCGGCCGCCGTTAGGCCCCTTTGCCCCCACTATACTGCTCTGACATGAACTTTTTCTCTAGTAAACAGCATTTTGCACTGCAATTCAAATTAATGAACAAAATAAACAACTTCAAATGTGTACTAAATCACCCACTCTATTTTTGATCTTCATATTTCATCAGATATACAATCTACTGTACATTTGCACACCAACGCTTAAAAATTGGCACTTTTAAAATTGTATTAACAAACTATGAGTAGCATTTCCCTGAAGATAACTCTTGTCTCGAATTTTTGTGGTATTATTCCGTGTTCAGACTCTCAAAGGGACAACAGGGGACACATATAAATATCCAAGCGTTTTTTCATAAGCTGTTGGGACGTCTCCTCTACGATTGATTGCGGGAGGTTATTTCGTTGTTCTTCTGTCCATTGCGTGAAAAACAATCAGAGCGGAAACTAAGCTCAGACATTTCCGCGCACAGATGCATTGCTTATCCACGGTAATTAGCTGAGAGTGCCACTGAAACATGTCCTCAAAACGCAATCACCTCTCAAGGCCTTATAGCATCTTGTAAACTAAAATAAAATAACCCTTCTGCTGCCTGTAGTACAGAGGGAATAAAGTTAGGCATTCCAGTCTTTCTATCCTGAAGTCAAAGCGCGCAGATCGATTTTCGAAAGCTTAGTGGAATATGAAATTTTAAACGAATTTCTGCTTCTCTTGCTGAAGTTATTCGCTTAATTTTTTACAACTTTTTTTGGAATTTATAACTTTATATCAACTGCACATACCTGTGGTTGTTGTCTTTAAAAATAGGTGGACCTATACATTCTCATATGGTTTCATCCGACAGGTTCATTTCACGTTCATGTATATCACCCTAAAAAACTTAGTATTCTAAAACACGAACACAGAATTAAAGTATAAATTTTGAAAATATATTCAATTTCCTACGCTCATATGTCTGTGCTTACCGTTTTTATTGTAGATATACGAACCAGTTAGAAATCTATATCGACATAAATTTCCTCCTACTTAGCCTCATCGTTAATTCCATTGTCACAGTCTTCACTTGTTACTTTAAAAAAATGCTGTTTGTCTTATCTTGTTTAAGGCATTTCTTATTTGACAGATATAATGAACATAGTGTCAGTAGCAGCACTTTGCAACTGGCTCACACTACTGATGTTAAGTCTACATTTGTATTATTTATTATTGTTACGGTGGAACTCTTTTGCGATTTTTGGTTATGAATAGGGAGCTCAAGGGCGAAAGCCGCCTTCCCTTAATAAAGTGGCTTAGCGTCCCTACGATTCGTAGAAAAGTGAAAGCTTTCATGCAAAGCGATTTGTCTACGATAACAAAAGAATTTGGGCCGTTTTACTGGGAAGATTATCCGTAACCACCGGCCTAAACATTGAGCACAATCTGTTTTCATTATTATTTTGTGTCTTTTCGGTTTTTGCCGGCTGACTCTCCACTGCATTCCACAGTTAGTATTTTTTTATTTTAAAGCTTACTGTGATGTATATTAGTTTACATCGTTGCATTCCTCTCGGAAATACGATCACAGTCTGCTTAGCTGTTGCGAAAAACCTGTAGTCTGATTGCAATATATCAGCTTGCAATCATATTTTCGACCGAAGGTAAAAAAATCTGAAGTCTTCATAAGCTACCTGCCTCGACCCAATTTCGCCAGAGTAAACCTAGTAGTCAAAATATTGACATAAATATGCAATCGGTAGTGAAGGCTAAACAGCTTGATGTGTCCGGTTTACAGAACTGTGATGACTTCAGGAGGAGGTTTTCATCTGCACTATCTGTACTTGAGAACCTGTTCGGGTAACATGTTTGATGTTCCCTCTCTGCACTTGAAACGTCTCGACTCGCTTGTTAACTTGGTTGCCAGTGAAGCTTTTGACGGACAAAAATAAAAATCCCAACTTTCTTTTAAAATATGTTCCCATGCACAGATGCCCAGTTGACGTTGGTATGGACTTCCTGTACTCGGATGATCTCAACTAAAAACTCGCGGAAGCAAAAAGCCTCTCATCGCGCAGCAAGAATCCTCGTATTTTAGTTAAGCCGTTTTCACTAATAGAGGTGCTGTCAATCTTTGGTCAACGACATCGAATGTTTTACTACTTGAAACTGACGAAAGTTTTCCTGTGTCGAGATTTTACATCAATGGAACGGAAACATGGGTCTCTTCTGTCAAATAGATCATCGACTTCTCAGTCTGCTATTCACAAGTCTGGTCATATTTCCACCAACATCAAGGCATCAATGAATCTATCTCCTCGCCTGTACGGTTCGAAAAGCCCTTTCACTCCACCTTATACTCCAACTTATATTTGAGCAGGCTGTCTGAAGAAACACAGCTAGCCGATGAGGTAAACTTTGCCGAAGATCTTCGTTAAGTGTTTCGAAACTCTTTTCTCGCGCAATTAAAGCTCTTAGAAAAACCTGACATTCCATACTTCGAGACGTCTTAGGAAACCCCATAACTGACGCTAAGTTGACAGCTGATAGGTTCACCTAACATTTCGGTTGCTCCACTCCCGGCTATTCAGGTTTGGACCAATGCTGTCCTCGAAACCATAAGTTTTACCTTCTGGGATGTGACCGTAGCCATTTCCTAGTCCTCAACGCCATGACGTCCTGGTAAGTATTTAAAATGCTAATGCTAAGGATATTTTCCCAGCCCTTCTGTGTAATATATTTAATCTAGCGCTTATAAGCGAAACCTTTCCTATTTTACGGAAGGACTAGTACCTTCTGTCTCTACTCAAGCGCGGCCGATCTACGTCATTCGATTACTTTAGGCCTATGAACGCACTTCCGCAGTCTCTAAGATCTTAAGGACCTTGATCAAACACGAGATTATGCATCATTTAACAGAGAACATCTTACTTTATGCAGTTCAGCATGGGTTTCTCAGAAAAAGATTTGTGAAGCCTGCCAGCTCTCTTTTTTTATTAAGGGCTACAATCTAAAGACAAGGATTTTGCACTTTTCGGCGTCTGTTTCGATTTCAGTAAGGCTTTTGATCGTGTTAAACACGTTTCTGGATATAATTTCCTTCTATTTGGATGCTCGCATACAATAAATTAACATTTCTAATGTTATCTCCAACCCCACACATGTGAAGAGTGGAATCATTCAGGGTAGCGTGCTTAGTCCGCTCTTATTTTGCCCTTATATAAGCCGGCAGATCGCAACATCGTACTCGAGCTCTTAAAAAAGAAACTCCAGGCTTTTTTGCGGTGTTGCTGCACATGGCACCTTTCCATTTCTTTGTGCAAATGTTCCTTTATAGTTGTTTATCCACTTCCAGGATTTAAGCTCCCGTGTGGACCCGCCGTGGCCTTCAACAGTCAAAAAAACTGAAGATGTACAAGGCTGTTGTACTCATGACACTATTGCATGGAGCAGAACCTGGAATTTCTGTACCGACCAAGCCCGGAAACTAAGCTATCTCCATCTCAGTTGCCTCCGCCGAATACGGAAGCTGAGATGGCGGGAGAGGATTCCGGACAAGAAAGTCCTGGAGATAACGGGAATTCTCAGCATCCGTGTGAACTGAAACTGTAGTGAACGACAAATGACTACTCAAGCGGCTGTTCTACGATGAATTGGCTGCGGGTGTTTGCCGTCAAGGAAGATACAAGAGGCGCCACAAGGACACCCTAAATAACTCTCTGAAGTGCCTTCAAATTAGCACGACAACCTGGGAGGAACTCGCGCAGAACCGATCTGCCTGGAGAAAAACACTGAACTCCAGCGCAGCTATCTATGAAGCCAGCTGAACCGCCCCCGCCGCCAGGGCGAAACGTACGACCCACAAGTCCCAAACCCAGCGGACGAACGTTGTAAATGCTCAAACCCTTCCAAACTGCCAGCGCTCTCAACGCACCTTCCGTGTGTTGTCAATGTCGCCAAGAACGAGATATCGCCGTCTAATTACGCCTTGCGTGGGTCTCCAAGGTAGAACATAACGAGGAGAGCGCAAATATAGAAGTCATTTAGCAAACCTAGTACAGCGTACGTATGGCAAGCAAAGCGTACAAGATTTGACCAAGCAGATTGTGGCCTCAATCGACTAGTAGTTCGATTGGCTTTCTGACTCACCCCACTTGCGTGGTAGAGTTCTTTGTCTGGTTGCAGCTTGCGCGTCATCACGTGCACTGTGTATGAGCGGACCGGTTTTATGGTGTGGGAATGACTCGTCAGGGCACGTATCTGTTTATTTGGCCATCTCCGGACGCAGTATCCTATCCCTCCGATGACATCCTATTATACGGTGTCAAACACTCCAAAAGGACCTCCTGTTTCCAGCACTCCGAAGACGACCACCCTTACCACGGTCACTCAAATACCCGATGCCCTCACCCACAAGTGCCATTCTCCCTGCTGCGACCCCATCATTGTCCACGGTGCCGACCACCACGGACAGCATCCCCTAACTCTCTCCACCCCCTCCGACGCACCACCCTCTGCCACAACTGACCCCTACAACAACCCTTGGGACTCGCATAGCTCTATGAGGCAACATGTGCTTCCGTGAAAACCTGCGGTAAAATTCCTCCGACTACGCCACGTTATTATATCATTCCTCACCAGCTCCTAAACCACCTATGATCATGCCACCATCACATTCCATACCATGTGCTGAAAGGGTACCTCCCACGGTAATGTAAGACATTTATAGTTTCTTTTTCACTAGTTCCCTCAGCTCCTTGCATGTCTGTAGTTTGATTTTAAAGAGTAACTTAAGCTTACCTGTTTAACGTTAACATGGGCACCTCCGCAGAAAGTTAATTTATATTCTCGGTTACTTTTTGCATAGGACCTTTTTGCTTCATGAACGCCTATGGCCTAAATTTAACGACTACCCTCATGTCAACTTAGCTTTAAGCACTCCCAAAGAACCTCCACCGAAAGATAAGTTGTGCTCTTGGTTTCTTTTACATAGCCTGTTTTGTAATTATTACCCCCCGGCTAGCACTACCAACTGACGCTTACCAGACCCATAATCCCAGTAGGTGTTTTGTGTATAATGGCCGATGCGTGGACTGGAAGTGATGCGGCGTTCGTCTATTCTCACGCCAAGACGTAACATAATAATGGCATGGCAGACCGATAATCGATATCGTGAGCGTCCCACATTCATAGCTTAACATGTACTCCTAGTGCGAGATAAGCGATAGTCAACTGATGGGGTTGGAACGACGTCGTCAGAGCGGCCGTGCCCGAAACACTAGTTTTAGTGCTGACTTGATCCAGCGTCGCATAGCAACATAAGGCAGGCAGCCTCTTGTCGATAACAGGGAAAGGAGTTAACCCAGGCAAGACGGGCTGTGAGCAACAGCCTTAGCATTGCCTTAATTTAACACTACGCTCGTGCGTTAGAAAGCCTGCATGCGGTCGCTGAGAGGGGAGCCGACGCCCCGGAAGGCTAGGCATTAACCTTACCGCTAACTTTAGCCAGATTAGGTACAAGCTTCAGAGCTGCCCTAAGCCAACGCTACACTCCAGCGTGAGACCGGCTGGTTGCTATAAATGGAGGAGCGTCGATACCTGGAAGTTCATGCTTCAGCCTTGACGCCGACTTAAGCTAATGTTGTGGGCGCACTTGACTAC